ATATAATTAATAATATAAATAATTATTAAATATAAAAAATAATATTATAATTTTTATATAATAATTATATTTTATATATATTATATAAAAATTAAGAAATATAATTTATTTAATAAATTAATTAAAGCAATTAAAATAAACAAAATAATATAACATTTTTTAACATAAATTTTATAAAAATTACTTTTAATATAACGTTTTTTATTACATTAAATAAAATTTAATATTAATAAAACGTTAAAGTTAAAATTATTGTAGGTAATTATTATATTAATTATTTAAAAAATAAGAATTTTAAAAATTAAATTAAAAACCAAATAAAAAATAATAAAAATATAAAAGGTAAAAAGGCTTAGTTTTAAATAAAAGTTAATAAAACGCATATAATAAACGTTAATAACGTTAAAAATTTAAATTTATTAAATTTTATTATAATAAAATATAATAAATAAATATATTGATAAATAAAATTGTAAAAAAATAAAATTATAATTAAAATAAAAAGTTAAATTTAAAAAATTATATTGTATTAAAAAAAAACTTAAAAAAATAAATTAAAAAAATAAATTAAAAAGATTTTTTATTTATATAAATTTCTTTTATTAAATTATTTTAAAATTATTATTATAATAATATAAATAATAATTATAATAAAAAAAATGGTTTAATATATTATTAAAATATTAATATAAATTTTAAATAATATATATAAATTTACTTATTAAATTTATTTTTTTTATTATATATTATAATAATTATTATTTAATCCGTTTTTAAAATAAATTATTATTTATATACGTAACTTTCGGTAACGCTAATAAGCTTAAAAATATAATATATTATTTTTACTTAAAAGATATATTGCATAAAATAAATAACTATAATTATAACATAATTATTATAACAGTTATAAAGAATTATGGCATTAATTACAACTATTATATAATTAATTAATTATATAAAAATTATATTATATATAATTATACTTTAAATAATTTAAATCTTTATATATTATTTATAATTATTATATATTATTTATAATAATATTATAACTTTTAATATTTATATATTTTAATTTTTAAATGATTTATAAAAAATAATTATAACCTTTTTATAATCTTTTCATATTTAAATTTTTAATTAAATATTAATAATTTTTATATATTTTTTTAATAAAATATACCATTTAATAAATAATAAAATAAAAAAATAAATTATTTAAAAATAATAAAATAATATAATTTATTAAATTAAATTTTTAATTTTTTTAATAATATTTTATTTAATATTATAATTTTTAACATTTTTTTTATATATATTAAAATCTAAAATAAAATTACTTTATTAAACTTAAATTAAATTTAATATTATTTATATTTTATTTATTTTATTTTAAACATTTTTTAATTTAACATAATTTATTAAAATAAATTTAATAAATTTAAATAACCATTATTTTTAATAATTTTTAATTAAAATATTACTTTTAAAATAAATTTTATATTAAATATTAACATTTATTATTTTTACTTTAAAAATTATTTTTTAATATTTCCAATAATTAAAATTTAAAAACTTTATTATATTAATATTTATTATAAAATTTATAATATATTACTTTAAAATAATATTTTAAATTTTTTAAATTAATTTAATAATATATAATAAATTAAATTAAACTTATTAAATTAATTATTTAATAATTTTAAATAAATAAAACTTTTAATTATTAAATAAATTAATTTATTAAACTAATTAATAAAAATAAAACATTATTATTTTTTTTTATAAACATTTAAAATAAATTTAAATATTTAAATAATATATGACAAACAGTTACATATTGAGATATACTAAGGTACATCTCACATGATCTGGCTCGGGATTTCGTCAAAATTTAAAGATACACATTCCCAAATTTTATATTGACCATAAGATAAATTTAATCAATATCTTACCTTACAACAATATGTATGTACTTGGGTACTTAAATGTCTTTTCCGCCTTAACGTTCTAACTAAACAAATTATAATTTTCTTAGAAATGAAATAAAAAGGTTCATAAGGAGCGAAAGATATTAATAGTCGGTCTCATTAAGAAGTCTGCTTACTATGGAAGTTTCCGTAGTATAAATGTTGTTTTTGTAATTCATCAATCATCCAACAACCAATGGGAGTTTGGCCGAGTGGTTAAGGCGTCGTGTTTAGGTCTTCCAAAAGAACACCATATAACCCGCGATGGGAAACCGCGCAGGTTCGAATCCTGCAGCTCTCAAAGACTTTTCTTTTTCCTTGCCCACTTGGCGCGATATTAAAAGCGCCTGGTGGATTCTTTTTTTAGCCTGGAAATCAAAGATCCGATTGTGTCGAATTTTTAGCGTTGGCGGTATGCGAAATCTTGGCGTTCTATGTATTCGAAGAACGTGGTTCCACATTCAATAAATACTACTAAGAGAAGTTCTATGCACGGCTGGAACTGGTAGTTGGTAATTTGGTAATTTGGTATATAAAAGCCAAAGGTGTAGCTTAAAAGAAAAATGGAGTATACTCGAATAAAATTCTACGCTTGAATTCCAACTGCATAAAATTAATTTGTTGTATCAGCATTTCTATCCAAGCATAGCTCAAGCTGTAGACGCATGGAAACGCTTCGAACTTATCTATCTGGATAGTAGACGATCCTCTCTGTCGATCACTCAGTTCTCGTCATGTTCCATCTTGAACCACCCTTGGAAAATAGCCTGCCGGTGTGGTCTCGCAGTCTCTATAGGTAGACGTCAGAACTAAAAGCAACGCGGCAATAATATTAACTAAATAAACTGACTAAACCGACTAAACCACCTATAAAGTGTTTTCAGAAGCGACGCTATAGTATACTGTAGACCTCAGTATGTCAGTAGCAGGCCGCTACACCACTCGAGAAATCTCAAAAAGTATGATGGACGAGATCTGCGCACGTACAAACGAGTATCGGTATGCCAGTACGCGCCGACTTGGGCGTCTAGTTTTTCCCGACGGCCGTAGTCCACTAAATCGCACGCACCCCATTTCCGCGCAGATGCCTCCTTTTCCGCAGGAAACTTGTTCTCTTGTTTGTATTCGTAGACGATCATGTCTCTGACCCGCCTCGGGCACAGTCCGCCAAATCGAAAACAACCATCAGGGAGTGGTAAGTGGCTGTAGGTACTCGTTAGCAATATGAAGAAAGATCTGGGATTAATGTGACTTACGCGCACCCCGGTATTTGTACTTCCTTGCCGTTCTCTGCTTTGACCTCAAACCAGAGCCTATCCTCAAACTTTCCTCTGCGAGGAATCTCCCCGGTGATAATCGCGACCGGTCGAGCAAACTCTTGGATTATTCTCATTGTAGGACATTGGGGCGGTCCAGCCATATCGAAAACCAGGGTGTTGTCATCGATATACGTAAATTGCTGGTGTACACCGTATCCTGGATCGAGAACGAGAAACTTACCAAAAGGTAACGTCTCGAGAGCTTTCTTGTGTTCGTCTCCATATTCGGGATCTGCGGTATAGAGAGGGATCTCCTTGTTCGTTTTCTTCTCCAATTGCTTAACTAGCGAAACGGCGGCAATATGTTGAGCGATATTTCGCGGCATGATGATATTACGCGGCCTCTGTGTATTATTGCCAGAATCTTTCTCCGGAGACTGTTGATGAGAGCCAAAGTTTGGCATAAGTATACGACCCAGCCCTAAACAAACTACCCTTTTAATTTTCTCTGGATTGGGTATGCTGTCTATAGCCTGTTTGAATTCATGAGCCCTGGTGTTTTTGTCGCACTTCCACCTTTCCCAAGCATCGGTAAGAGTTTTCTGTATATCCTCTACTTCTACATCATCGCGGCTCTCAGTGTATTTCCGGGTGCCCTCCTCATATGGTTTATGATACTTGGAAATGAAACTGTTTTATGTCAGTAATCTTTGTATGAGATTATTTCTTGTTCGGTACTAAGGTTGGTGGAAAATTCTGAACATACGCTTTTGCAAGACTTTCGTTAATCTTAGTATTTGGTTTCATCTGCTTAGGGGGGCAATTTGCCTGGACATTTTGATAGCAGTGAAGAATAAACTCGTGGGGGTCTTCATAGTCCTTCCCTCTGATATCTGAAGCGCAGAACATGTACCAGTTACATCTCTCGACGATCTTTTTGTTCCTTTCTTTGGTACCCAGCTGAAGACCTTGGATTTCCTTTAATTTGAGGAAGTCGGCCTCAAGGCCAGAATAATCATGTGCACCCATTATGCTAGTAGAGAGGTGGATTTAAGAAAGCGAGACGTGTCCACGAAAAAGTATCGTCAGATTTATTGTTTCAGGCTCTTCCAGCTTTAGGTATGCAATCCGCCGCAGAATTACTTAAGTAGAAAAACTTAAATTCTAAAATAAAAGGTCTATCAGGTAGTCACTAAGCAGCTTGATGTCTAACAAATACACAGCATGTGATTTCATTTGACATTGAATAATTGTTAGCTCTGGCAAGTGATATAAGTTCGGATTCACAGATATTTGATTGAGACTTAGCTTTCGCTATTGTGGTCCGTGGAACTGTAGTGGCGGCGAAGAATGTGTTGGTTGTGCTACTGATGCTAAGAGTGATTCAGAAATTAGCTGAATAGAGGTAGCCTTTACTTATATAGATTCGCAGCCTCGTCTATAAAAGGAACCTTCTAGATTTAGCCAGCCACCGCATACGGCCTTACAGCTATGGGTCCACATGTCGGCTCTCTTGACTGATGAATATCTTCTTGTCGGCTTGTTCGAATAACACTGATCATATCCACTCCTGATTCATGCCTGACGCACTCTCTTTTAGCTATATTCATCGCCGCCATAGGTATATGACTTGTAGAGCCTGCTTTTGTAGATATCAGCTCCTTTGATGATATAGGTGGGACACAGGATCTTGGGTATGACGGCATCAGTCATGACAGGAGGCTATTTATAAAAATATGTCTGAAGTAAAGCTGAGACGAAATAGGGCAATACGTGGCTCAAATCCAATCACAATACAATCTGTAGTGAATCAATAAAATGAATTCTACCTCTTGAATGATGGCTAGAAATGCGAAGCTTCGTATTTCGGCACGTATTTCAACCTATAAATTGATTCGAGGACTGCTTCTGCCCCAACGGAGCGCGTTAGTGCAACTTCAAGGCAGCCTGAACTAGCCCTCCTCAAGCTTACAGTAAAGTATTAAATATCTTGCTACTGACGGGCGATGAAGAAGTCAAGGCTTTAAATCAGACGAATGGCTTAATGCATGACGTGGCTAAGCATAGGTAGTGTAAGTAGGTATTGATGCTAGTCAAGATGATACGGGGGTATTATACCTAATTGGACCAATTATGAATCTACATTCATTCACCATAACGACTAACCACGGCCCCCGTATTGATATCGAATGGGAGTGTTATATCTACCTGGGGAGTATAACACATGGTCTAGCGTTAGTTGAGATACACAACAGCTCAAGGTGAACAAGGCAGGCATGATAAACCTCTAGGTAAATTGCCAATCTGTATGTCTATAAGCTGATAACAGGTACCCTAACGTTTCTTTCTAGAAAGCAGCCCTCCTTTTTTTAAGTCCCCAGACATACAAGATCTGCGTTGTTTAAGACATTTTACTCGACAAACCTACAATGCAAACCAAGAAAACTAATCCCCAACAAATCCACTACAAACCCACCGACGCGGAGCCATTCCACACAGCTGAAACATGTCGTGAGACGATTCACAGACTGTCCGATGACGGAGGAGTAGCTTATTTGGCAACTCCGATACAGGCGAAGTACTTCTTAAAAGCCTGAACCTCGACGCTGAAAACACCATCACGGTCGAGGAGAGCCGCCGGTGGCCAGAATTCGGGCTCGACGCGGTCGAGAAGGCCCGGGTACGATGTTAGGCCGCGGGGTTCGGTGACGCCCCACGGGTTCCTGATGATGATGTACTGCTATTATCAGGGTTAATTTCTTATACTATCGAATTTCAATGGCTCGGAAATGTCCCGGAAACAATAGGTAGCTCTCCGATCGGCTGGAAAAGGGGGGGGATATATAAAGGTACGCACATTGTCCTCCTGGCCCTCGCTGACCCAGCCCAAGACCGAGTACGCATGGTTAGCAACCAAATTGCTGCCGCGGAACACTATATAATATCGGAATTAGCACCAGCCTCTCTCTCTCCAACGAAAACAAGTCCAAAAGCGCTTAGATTAGCTGTCGGGGCGAAACCGCCACCGCCTCATTGACCGAGAATTCTCGAGTCCGACCCGATAGGTAGAAGGGAAAAGAAACCCAGGACGTTACATACTGTCTCCTGTGGCGTGCGTCCACGCAGCCATGGGGCTAATAGTGCGCTTGTTCACGCTGCAGGAGCGCACAATGCCTACGAGCTCAGACCCGGAGTGGCGGTCGGTGAAGTAATAACGGGGCTCGCGGCCGTTAATTTGGGCCACTATATTAATGAAGTATGATGTTAGCGGCTGGTTTTTTCGACTAATATGTCTAAAGGGGGTTAGACTGGTCTTGGGGGCAGAAAATCCCCGACTTTTCGGTGCGGGCCGAGAAAAGGGGGAGGGAAAAAAAATATTGAACATGGACGGCCGGATGGATGGATGGATGGATGGATGGATGGATGGATGGATGACTACGCACTGGCCTTGATTGGGTCGCCGCTGTGAGCCTGGGTCATGTCGACGCGGCCGCGGTCCTCGGAACGGGTCATCCACTTGATGAAGGCCTTCTCGTAGAGCGCGGGCCAAGTCTCGTAGCCGTCGCTGGAGTGCGCGTAGATGGGCATGTCGGTCGAGTTGTTGATGGGGATCTGGTAGTCGACCTCGACGGTGTCCGTGTCGGCGTTGTTGCGGCCGCCCTTGTCGTGGAAGCGGATGTTCAGGGTGCGGCGGCGGCGGTCCATGGGTCCGGTCACGGTCGTCCGCGTGGATCGGTTGATCATGGCGGGGTTCGCCCAGAACACGGAGAAGATGCCTGCGATTAGCCAGCTGTCGCTCGAGGCTCCCTGGGTCGGGTCGTCGAAGCGGTGCTGGTATTGCTCCCGGAATTGGTGGGAGTTGCCTTGCATGGCGAAGAGTGGGCCGTCCATCATGAAGCGACGCGGGATGTTCCGGAAGATGACATCGTTCATGTCGCGCCAGGAGCTGTTGGGGGGAGACCACGGCTGGTCTTCCTTTCCGTGGCGGAAGGGAAGCACAAGCTCGTTTATGGTCTCGGTAACATCGCGGTTACTGACAGTCTTGCTGAGAGACTGGCCATCAAGGACAAGACGGAGCTTGCCATTCTGCATGCGGGCCATCTTGATGCGGATGTCGCCGACCTCTTTGAGGCCGATCTTCTCGAGGTCGTCGAGCTTCTTGACGCGGGACAAGTCGGGAGTGACAAGGTCGCGCTCGTCGAGGATCTGCATCTCCTTCTCGGAGATCTCCTCGGCCTGGCGGTTCTCCTCGTTGAGCTTGAGGCCGGCAAAGAGCACCGAGTTGTGCTTCAGGTCGAAGAGCTCGTCGTAGTCGGTCTGCAGGACATCCGCGAGGATGCGCGCAGTCGACAGAGCATGACGGTCCAATCGATGGCCGACCATAGCCTCAACTAGGGCATACGGGTTGATGGCACCGATGAACACATCCTTGGGAGGCTCATCAGGAGAAGGCTCCTGGCCAAGGGGAGGGCGGTCATCCCTCTCGTTGCCGAGGACCTCGTAGTCCTCGGACATAGTCCTAGAAGGAATAACGCGCCTGTCGATTTTGTGGCCCGTAAGTGCCTCAAACAGAGCAAAAGCATCCATGTTGCTAGGAGCTCCACGAGGAGATTCGGAAGGGGATCCAGAGGTAACCATTTTAAATTTAAGTTGGTGGTAAGTTATTGGTGTTATACGGATGTATGAATAGTAAACGGTAAGCTAATAAATTATTGAACGAGTCGCTATTGCTTGGTGAGAATAGAATAGAATAGTCTTGAGGAGGTTGACTGGTATATGTATGTTTTCACTGATATTCAAGACACATGTTTCTTTCGCTTCGTGGACCATGTCTTCAAGATCTTGTGCCTTCACTTACCTTGTATCGACAAAACCGAATAGAGCGCCTAATGCAAAAACCGAGTATAAACATGAGTCTCTCCGCGTAGACCTACGGACCCCGCAAATTGCCTAGACCTCATTCCTAAGTGAAAATAGGTTATATTACGTATCTTCTAAAGTGCCCATTTAAAAGGTTAAAGATCACTGTACTGCAGTAGAGCGCTGTTGGCATGATCTGATACGGACATATTCTCCTCACTATCACCCCCGTAGGTTTCTACTTGTTCTTACGTTCTTACTTTTGTCCTCGGCGGCCAAAGCTGTCTGGGTGAGCTATTTCATGGGAGAAATGACTGGAGTAAGAGACTTTCGGATAAGTGATTATACGTGCTCTCTAGAAAGGGTACAGGAGAACTCCAGAATACTATATGTGTCTAACACCGTTATGGTCAAGTGAGTGCGTGTACCTACCCATACCCACATACCCAGGTAACTACCTAAAGGGGGCTCAGTACTCAGAACCGACAATGAGCGACGGACTCCTAAAATTAACTACATTCGCAGTGCTCCTAAATGGTTTAATTTATGCCATTTTAAAGCTTAATCCACTGTCGGGTTCGCGGGGGACGGACAGGGAAATAAGCTTCAAACCATCCGGCTGGTTCAGGCGCCTCAAAGCCGTGGATGTTGGTCTTGGTCCAAGATAGTTCTACTGGAGTTCAGCTCCATGTTGACAGGAATTCTAGGCTGATCCTGAGCTGAGCTGATCTTAGACTACGGGGAAAAGCTCACCCCCTTTCTAGGTTTACAGCACACATGGTAGATGATTCTGCATGAGCCTATGTAGGAGCTCTAGTACTTTTAACTGATGAAATTTTCTACCTATTGTAATTATTTACCTACCACGTGAAAATCACTATGGCACTATGTAGGATGATAAGCCCATACTAGAAGCTATAGACGTATTATAATGTTCCTGGGTAATTAAGTGACTTCTTAGTAGGTAAGTCTTCATGACGGATACGCAGTTCAGCACCACCTAAGCGTAAAAACATGGGATAAGTCGTCCGATGTGAAACTCAATTCGCTACCAAAACCTACCTAGGTATAGAATACGAGACGAAGAGTGAGTTTCACCATCTAGGTACTCCCGTGCGTTTAGCTTACCGGGTACCTGAACCTTGAGTTGCTCGATGGCCTTTTAATTATCTCGTTGTAAACCGAGGTTTCAAGGCCTAAGCCCCGTATTACAAGGAGCTGGCAAGCAAGGCTAATTACTACTGAACATAGTCTCGGTAGGAGTCTCGGTAGGAATATATTCTCATTTTGCCTTAGTGAGTTATAAAGTATTTTAGAACTTAGCGAGGTGAAAAGGGGGTAACCCAATACCGGGAAATCCTTATTAGCTCCCGAAAGAAAGAAACATGGCTAATTACGAAGAATCAATGCCACAATCTACTCATAGAATATCACCGAAGCAAAAACCCCAGCGACCAAGTGTCCGACCTACATATGATTTGCTCTGTATTGAGATAATATAACCTCAGTACTGTCTGTGTCAGGTATTCGCTTCCTTTATAGACAAGAACTCCAGAAGCTCTAGAGTCCCCATCGCTTTTTAATCCACAAAATACATAGAGCGCTTTTGACAGTATATCCCTCAACCCGACTTAACATCGACGCAAAACAACACGAACAAGTCACAGGAGCAACCAAAACAACTCATTTAAAAATATCAACGCCCTCAATAACAGCTAAATCGCTGGTAATGATTATGTCCCTATGCCTATGCCAGACCAGTGAGCTAAGCCACAACACTCACGTCCGCTCCGACTATAACAGCGTCAGTACGAGCTGTATGTACATCATAAGGCGCCCTGACCAACACGTAAGAAGTAGATAGGACCGCCTGTTCTGAAGGAGCCAGTTAAGTAGGTACCCAAAAAGCAGTTCCTCAGTTCATTGGTTCGTTCCATCCACTATGCAGAAATGGTTTTGGTCAAGAGTAGTTAAGGTATCCGTAATGTGTGATTGGTTCGGATGAAGAAATAGAAAAAAAGGGGAGGGATATCAGGATGACAAAGAAAAAACATGAATTGATAGTAACAGTGATATGATGTAAGTGCTAGAACGCCGTGATGTAGTAAGTAACCGTAAAGCAAAGAACCCTTGGCCGACAAATCTATGAACCTATGCCATGCCCCCTAAGACGAAAGGAAGGAAAACAAAAATATTCATCATAGTCTCATTGCGAGGTGGTGGTATGTGCAAATGCGTCCATCCTCGATGCCTATTGCATGACTGCTTACTCCGTCATATGCTGGATGCTAGTGAAACATCATTTTGTTCATTAATCTTCGTGCCCCTTTAGGCCCGTCCAAATCCACCTCCTCCATCTTCTCTTTTGCCTTGCTTCCTCCCTGGTGGTGGCAGTCTCTACCAACGTCCGACCGGAACAGGCGCGCCATAATTGCCAGCCATCAACTGGTCCAGAATGGAGCTTTGGTTGGCGGGCGTACTTGAGGCGGTGTTGCCTGAACCTCCACCGACCCATCCGACATTCGCGGCCATAGAGGAGATGGCAGCACCTAACCTGCCACCCGATTGTTGATTGTGCTTAGCAAGCTTTTGGTCCCAACCACCCGAATGTAAGAGGAAGCCGGCCCCTTTCTTGGAGGCTTCATTGATAACCAGAGCCCAGGCTTGCGATATTTCGTAGTAGACGTTCTCTTTATGATGTCGGTGGCTTTGGCTTTCCCAGTCAGGCAGGCTGTGTACTACCTTCGTGGCGCCATCTAGATATTGTAGCGAGAGGTTTGCGCTTGTCTCGTTAGGCGGAAGGAATTGGTGTGTGAAGTCAGCAAGGGCATCGATCAGCGCCATTAGTTGATGTTTGACCCGGTAGTATGTGTAGTCGGAACTCGAATCGCCGTAGGGAAACGCATCTCGTAGTTTGTCCTGATACTCCTTCAACACTTGTAGGGCGCAGTCGACGGAGGGCTTTGGAGCGCTTTTGACGACCTCTTCTCCAATTTCTGCTTGTCGCTCGCAGATTGTCTGTAGCACAGTTCGCAGTTGCGTGATGTCGAGGGTCTCGAGGAGTCGAGGGAGCGATAGAGGCCGTCCCGCTAGTTCATTTGCCCGGACTTTCTTCGATGGTCTAGCCGCGAGCTGTCGCGATTGAGCAGCAGGGGAGTTGAGGGGCGAGACCGACATCTCATCGCCATCGTCATCGGCCTTTCGCTTTCGGTTACTAGCCATAGTGTTATGAAATGGAGAAACTATTAAGCAAAATTGTTAGTATAGGTATATTGCTGCCTGTTCGGATCTCCTTAGATGCAGAGTAGTCGAGTCCGCAGCTCGGGATCGCAAACAGCTAAGGGGTATGAAGACAATGCCCCACATGACTCGGAATAAGAAAGCCTAGGAATTAAATATATTCACATACTTGAGCGAGTAGGCGACCGTCTATTGGTCTCGTGTTGATGAGGGAAGAAAGACGGCGGTTGCGGCTGCGGCGATAACAAAACGTTCATTATGCTAACAGGTATATTCCTTCCGAATACGTCGTACTGCTCGGTGTCCTATGCCCTCCTCGATAACGGTGTTTGGTCGAGCTATGGCGATGTCGACACCACGCTGGACTGATCGACGGATCGACGGTATGCTTATCTGACGTACGGCGGAGTGGCGTCGACGATGGGAACAAACCGGAAGTGCAGGATGGGGAAGATGTTGAGCGAGGGAGGGAGGAGAACCAGAGATAAATAAAAGTAGAGGGGAGAAAGTAAGAAGGTGGATAGAGGGTGGATCGAAAAAGAATGTCGTTACTTGTGGCTACTTTTATTCCGTCTGGTCCTTAAGGCTTAAGCTAAATAAATAAAAAGGGCGCCTAATATTGGTTGCGCATTGACGGAGGGTGTAGGGTGTAGGGTGGTGTAGGGTGTAGCGCAGTTGTTTAAAAAGTAATAACAAACACCCAAAGGTGACTTAACAACAATTATGTATTAGTCTTGGGTCGACTAATCCCTTTGATTGAATAGGATTTGGAGGTTATGGAGGGTTTGTGTGTGCGTGTCGATGGTGTGGATTGGATGTTCCAAGGAAAGATACGCAAAAGATGGCAGCAATGGTTTAGAAAACCGCCTTCCGCTGGCTCGGGCAGTCAAGGAAAAACAGTCAGGCCCCAAAATCCCCAATGTATCTGGCCATACTGTTGGTTCACTCGACGCCAGCTGGTGGAGACAAGGTCCCCTGTGGCTGTATGTAGTATGTAATATTACCCTAAGTGGACTAGCAGTACTATACACTAGGAGCTACATAGGTACGCACTTATGTACTCTTTTGTAATCAATGGCCCGCATTAGTGCCTTATGCCTATATACCATAGCAGTAAAGGGTGGTTTTAAGAAACGGTTATTAGACGTAAAAATTATTTTATATCCGAAAATTATTTTTTAATAAATAATTATTATTAGTTAAAAAATATTTACTTATTTAATTTATATAAAAAAATATAAATATTAAATATAATATTTATATTAATAATTGTTTATATTTAAGTAATATATTTTAAAATTTTAAAAATTAAATAATAATAATGTATATTATAATTATTTAAAAATTTAAATAAATAATATATTTTATAAATATTTAATATTTTAAATTTATTTTTTTATTATTATTTATATATTTAAATATTTAATCTTTTATTATTATTTATATTTTTTATTTAAACTTTTATTATTGTTTATATGTTTTATTTAAATTTTTATTATAATTAATAAAAGTTTTAATTATAAGTAATTATTTATTAAACGTGTATAAAAATTATAAAATATTTTTATAAATATATTATTTAATATATTATTAAATATGTTAAGTTTTAATAAAATATAATTAAAATTATTATAATTAATATTATAATTAAAATTTTAATTAATATTATTAATTAAGTTTATTATAAATTTAATTAATTTAAATATAATATATTTTAAAAACGTAAATTTTATTTTAATATTTAAATAATTATAATTTTTATAATTAAAATATAATTAAAATCTTTTAATAAACCGTTTATTTTTTTTAAAAAAATAAACGTTATTTAATAAATAATTATTAATGTTATAAATAAAATTAAAATTATTATTATCGTAATTATTATTATATTTTTATTTTAATTATTTTATACGTAACAAATAAATTAATTTATTACATTTATAAATAAAATAATTATTTATATTTTATTTTATTTACTTAATACGTAATAAATAAATTATATTAAAATAATTATTAATATTATTTTATTTTATTTAATTACGGCCTTGTTTTTACCCGGTAAAAAATTAATAAATATTAATTATTTTGGTAAATAATTAAATAAAGTTAATTTAAATAAATATTTTTTTTTTATATTTTTTTATTTTACTATTAAATATAACGGATTTATAAATAATATATTTTATTTTATTATTGGCGTATTTAACGGCAATATTAACAAATATTATAATAATATTATTAATAAATATAATTTAAATAAATTAAATAAAAAAAATTTTTATAAAAATATAAAAAAATAATAAATAGCATTAGTTTTAATATAAAGTAATAATTTTTATATTATTATTATTAGTTTTTTTAAAAAAGTTAAAAATATACGTAACCAAGTAATATTAATTTTTTTATTTTAAATTAATTTTTAAAAATAAAATAATTTTATTTTAATTATAATAAAAATAAAAATTATTATAAAATTATATTTTATTTAATAAATAAATTTTTATATTTTATATTTATTTACGGTTAAAATAAATATATATATTATTTATTTATAATTAATTATTAATAAATTTAAATATAATATACATATTTTAAATAAAGTTACATATTTTAATAATACGGTAAATTTTTTTATATAAATTAAATATAATAAAAACGTTAATATTAATAAAAGAAATTTATTAATTTTTTAAAAAAATTTATAATTTTGGTAATTTATTAAAAATAAAAAATATTTAATTAATAAATTTAAAAACGATTAAATATAAAAAATTTATTAATAATTAATAATAAAAAAAAAAAAAAATTAAAAATTAACTTTATTTATATTTAAATATATAGAAATAATAACGTTTTAGCAGTATAATATTATTTATAATTTTTAATCGGGAATTATTTATTTTAAAAAATTTGGTAAAATATAAATTAATAAAATTAAATTTACGCCTTTTTATTAAGTTTTATATATTTTTATAAAATAAATAATAAACGTAATATAATAAAATATATTATAAACTATTTAAATCGGTTATATTAAAAAATAAAAATAATAATAGTAAAATATAGTTTAAATAATAAATTTTTACCATTTTCTTTAATTATTAACGGTTTTTTTCGGTAAAAAAAGTTATAAAATTAATAATTGATTTTAATTTCATATTAATTATAATAAGCTAATAAAATATATTATATATATATATTTTTAAAATATTATAAATATATAATTATTAAACGTAATTATTATATTATTATTAATAAAAATAAAATAATAAAAAATAATAGCATAAAATGCAATTAAATTTATATTTTTAATTAATTAAATTTTCAAATTTACTTATAGTTTAAATATAAACGTTATTTTTTTTTATCTTTTTTATTAATTATAATATAAAAAAAAAAAAAAAAATTTTTATATTTTAACATTAAAATTTAATAATTAATTATTTTATAAACTTATAATATTTATTAAAAAAATTTATTAATTATATTATTTCGTATTTAATATAAAAAATATAATATAAAAGCCGTTTTTATATTAAATAAAAAAAAAAAAATTTAACGTATATTAATAATAATTAATTTAATTAATTTTTTATAACGTTAAACCGTTTAATTTTAAAAATTATTAATAATCTTTTTATTATTTTTTTATTAATATATAAATTAATATTTTAATAATTTATAACGTTATTTTAATTAAATTAATTTTTACATTTAAAAAATTATAAAAATTATCTTAAAAATTATTTTAATAAACGTTATAATAAATAAAACGTTAAAGGATTTATAATTAAAATATACGTTTATAATTAACCGAAATTTTATTTTTTTCGATTTTATAAATTAAATTAATTTATAACCGAAAAAATTAAATAAAATTTTAATTAAATAAAAATATATTATTACAAAAATAAATATTAACTTTAATTTAAATAATTATAAATATAACTAATTTACGTTTAATATTATTAAACTTATAACCAAATTTTTTTTAATTAAATTTATTTTCGGATAATTTATTGCTAAATAATTTACCGTTAAATAACTTACCATTAAATAACTTATTTTTAAATATATTATTTATAATATAATCGTTTAATTGCAAATTAATAAATACGTCTTTAATAAACTTACTTTTAATAAATTTATTTATATTAACAATATTTTTATTAAATTTAATAATAACATATTCGTTTTTATTAAATAATATAAAACTTAATATATTAAATTAATTATTATATAATATATTAACGTATATATTAAATAAAAAAGTATTAAAAAATAAAGGTAAAAATAAATTATTAAATTTAAAACGTTAAAAATATTAAAACTCTTATAATTTAAACATTTGTTTATAAACTAACATATTTTAAATATTTTAAAATAAAATTTATATAAAATTATTTAATTTAATATTTTTAAACTTTTTAATTTTATAAATTAATTTAAATATTTTATAAATATTAACGCGTTTATTTAAATTAATATTTTACTTAAAATTTATTACCAATTATTTAAAATTTTATTTAATATTTAAATTAAAAATAACTTTTATTTTAATAAATTTATATAATTTATTATTAAATAAATAAAATATATGTTGGAAATATTAAAAAAAAAATTATATTTTATTAATAAAAATCTTTTAATAATTAATAATAAATATAATTTAAAAGTTATAAATATATTTAAATATATTAAAATCTAATTTTTTTCCAATTTATTAATAAAATAATAAAAGATTTATTTTTTATAATTTTATTTTAATTAAATAATTATTTATAAAATTATTAATATATCTTTTTTTTATATTAATATGTTTTAAATATTAAAATTAATAAATTTATATAAAAATTTTTAAATAAAAATTTATATTTTATAATTTAAAATAATTTTATAATATAGTTAAATAATTTTTTAAATTAAAATAATAATAAGTTTAACTTTAAATATTAATCTTAAATAAGTTAAATGATGGTATTAGGGTTATAAAAGGCTAAAAAATGTTAACACAATTCTAGATTATAATAAAATTTAATTTAAATTATTTTTAAACTATTATAAAAATAATTTTTACTTATTTATAACCTTTATAAATACCAAAAATTATTAATTAATAATATTATTATAATATTGGTTTAAATTAAAAGAAAGAATTTATTAGAATATATTTTAATAAAAGTTTACATCTTTTTTAAATTTATATTATTAATATAATTTTTACCTTATTTATTATAAACCAAAAATTAAATAGTTATAAATAAAAGAAATATTTATTAATAAACTAAAATATATTTAGTAAGATTAAATTTAATTTATTTTTTTAATATGGTAGGAATAAATTATTTTCTTATAATAATAAAAATAAATTATTTAATATTAAACCTTTTATTTATAAAGTTAATTAATAATTAAATTTAAGTTAATATATTAAATAAATAAAGTAAGTATATAATTAATAAAATTTATATTTAATTTATAATAAATAT